GAGTTATGAGTCTTCAAAGTTGACGCGGCGCGCGGGAACCTTGTATGTTCCGAGTCTCAAGGTCGCCTGCGCGCCCCGGATTGCCTGCAGGTTGCAAGTTTTTGTGTTATTATGCTTCTGTAGGTCATTTTTAATGTAAATCATTCAATGAAGATAGAATAATCGAAATTTTTTAATTTTACGGGAGGAGCGAGAGGGGGCTCAGAGTATCAACCATTATGTCCATCGTACCTCATTAAACATTTGCTGACGATGACGATTCTGCTCTTATAATTTAGAAGAAACCATGGACCCTCAGTTCAAATATACATATGCTCCATACAGAACTGAACCATTTAGAAATTATAACCCATTGATGCCAAATTTTGGGGTACCCCTAATTTTAAAATTTTTTAATTGAGCTATAAGCTACAGCGCTTGATGGAACTCACTTGGTAAAGCCAAATAGTTTCTCGTAGAAGCAAACGAGCTTTGAGCTTCAAAACAAGTCTCAGTTATTCTTGAGGGGGCTATTTGAAACGCAGTTAAAATTTTTTGACGTTAATGTGGTGTACCTCGCCGAAGGCCCATTGTGTAAAATTAAAAAAAATTCTGATTAAACTATCTTCATGGAATGATTTACATTAAAAATGACCTACAGAAGCATAATAACACAAAAACTTGCAACCTGCAGGCAATCCGGGGCGCGCAGGCGACCTTGAGACTCGGAACATACAAGGTTCCCGCGCGCCGCGTCAACTTTGAAGACTCATAACTCCGCTTCTAATCGTTTTCCCAAGATTATCTTGGGCTTGTTTTAAAGCTTAAACGCTCTACTTTCATTTGAAATTGTTTTTGTTTTGATTTGTGCGAACAGAACAACCGAAAATCTCAAAAAACTAAAATTTACAAAAGGGGGACCTTGTAAAATGCCCCAAAAGTGGGTCAAATTTTAAAATTTAATTAATTTCATACATATATTCTGAAAGCTCTTATTTTTCTGGAAATTTTGACACCAAGATCATCTTTCTACGACAAACCGTTGAGAAGTTATGCTAATTTAAAGGTTTTGACTTTGACCCCCTCTACTCCCTTTTCCCTGGGGGTTAGGCAAAAAATATGGCCAGTTTTGAGTGTCTGGGAAGACCCTTTATCATCCCTGAGAAAATCGTACGATTCCGTGTTTAAGCCGATTTGGCCATTTTGTTGTAGGGTCCTTTTCATATGATTTTTATCGCTAATCCATAGGAGTAAAGGGCCCTAATTTTAAATATCAATCGTGAACATACCAAACAGCTTTATCTCGCTACTTTATTTTTCTAAATAGGGCCTTATCATTTTTTATGCATAAAATTTTGCACAATTTTTCTTTGATTTTCCATCAGTTTTCCTTGAAAATTTCTTTAAAATATTTGGAGCAATATTTTCCCAAAATAATTAGATACAAGGATTACAGCAATCTACATCTATAATTTGTTGGTTTCACCTTTGGTATGCTACACTCTGCGTGTTGTGCATAAATTTTCGCATTTTCAAAATGAAATTCCCAAACCTCGTATCTTATTTTTGGTACTTAAAAATCTCCACTTTTTTTTTTTTTTTTTTTTTTTTTTTTTTTTCTCACAAGAACAAATCAACACCATTCCTTGACGTTTTCACAGAATTTTTTTTTTGCACTGAGAGGAAAAATCACGGAATTTTTAAAGAATTGAAATTGAGTACTTAGTTATCCATTAAAACAATAAAGTATGATAGGAAAAGTCAACCAAGATACTTGGTTTGGGAGTTTCATGGTTGATAAATCTCTTCGAATAATTCCCAATGTTTATAGTTGGGCACTGCCTAATGTATCCATTTGAGAATTTCACCATTAGATATAAATTCGAGAGTAACCATACCTTTTCAATGTTCTCACAGTAACTGTATTTGTGATTTCAGGATGCAGATCGATCCACTGATTCTAGTGGTTATCGATCAAAAATCGATGCACAACCAAGCAATCATATTGATTCACAAAAGTCATATCTCCCTCACTCATCGCCTCAACACAGTTACCAGTATGACAAGCTAGATCAAAGGGACTCTTTGAGCATGAAAAAACCACCGGAAAACCAAAGCGACCTGCAGGGATCTCAGTACGGCTACAATCAGTCAACGCAGCAATCCAAGCTGAGACAATATCAAAACAACGAGATGGACTCGAACTTCCAGCAAATGCCAAGTGAGATGTCGCGTCAGCCTGCGGCTCGCTTGCAGCAAGAGCAAAGTCAAATTCGCGATATGAAACTGCGAGAGCAAGAACAAAGGCTCACCTATGAGCAGGAAACCCAACAGCAATTGCAGAGGCAACAGCAGCAACAACAACAACAACAACAACAGCAACAGCTGCAGCAACGCCAAATCCAGCAGCAACAGCAACAACAACAACACCAGCAACAACAGCAGTATCAGCAACAATTGCAGCAGCAACAATTACAACAACAGCAACATCAGTATCAGCAGCAGCAGCAACAACAGCATCATCAACAGCAACTCCAGCAGCAGCAGCAGCAGCAACAACAACAGCAACAGCATCAAATGTACCAGCAACAGCTTCAGGTAAGGACATCACTTATAAACTGCTCAAGCATTCTACCATCATTGTGCACCGTTTTCTCAAGATTAATTTGCGTCAGCCCTCTGAAACTTTGCTTCTTGTTCAATGATATACTCTGTTAAAGCTGCAAAAACAGGATCAAGTATTAGGATCAACTAAAATCCTGATACCCATGTAATTTTTTTAATGTCTCACTTCTCTCTTTTTTTTTTACTCGCAGCAGCAACAATATCCATATCAGCAAGAAATGCAATCGATGTCGCAGCAGCAATCCTACCCACAACAAAGCAAATATCATCAAAATCAGCAACAGCAGCAGTACCAGCAGCAGCAGCCACACCAGCTGCATCAGTCGTACCCGCTGAATCAGCGAGAATCAGAGCTGATGCAGCAGCAGTGGCACGAGGGCGATAGGACTAAGTACCTGCAGGACCACACAAATCGGGATCCGATGGGGAGAATGCCGAATCAGGATGGTTACATCAATGAGACGCAGTTTCCTCAGAAAGGTTATGGAGAGACAGCCAATTATCTAATGAACAAGCTCAAGTCCAGATCGCCCGAGCATCAAGTAAGTTTTTGGTTTCGGAATTTCTCTCGCTCCATGAATAATGGAGGTCTCTTGATCTGCATGAAATATTGTCACAGTAGTGTGCAACTTAAATGCATAGCTTAAATGCGCAGCTTAATTTTGCTGTAAGCAACTGTGGGCTGATTATTGAAGATAATAGACAAAGTAGACTCATTGTCAGCCATTTTCCAGTGGAGCAATTCTATTGGTTAGATTAGGTGGCTCCTGTAGACTAAGGGAGAAGATAATGGACTAACTATAAGGTCTCTCATGGGTTGGTTTTTGCATGTCTATTACTTACTTCCTTTTTCCATTGCAACCACTCGTTCCACCAATAGGATCCCTCCGTTTTCTCTTTGCCCTTTTGGTCTATTCCTTTGTCCATCAATTTCAAGAATCAGACTGCAGGACTATGTCAATGTCAACAACGGTTGGATGAAATGTTATCGGCCAAAAAGGGTGAACACAGTCAACATTCCGGAGTGGTGTCAAATTAGCAGCAAATTTTGGTCTAAGTCCAATATAAGTCTGCAGGCTATCGCATAACTTGACCTCAAGTTTTTAAAAATTACCACAATCTAATTTCAATCAAAACAGCACTATTCGTGTCAAAACTGGTAGGAGCACCCACTTTGAAGTCTTTGCACATTTATTTGTCCACTATTTAAAAAATGAATTGGACAGCTTTTTTGAATACGCCATCATGTAGGAATGTTGGTGATTAAGGAGAGATTTTCTTTCCTCACAGTGTGTCAGCCAGGAAAATGACAAGACGCTTAGCATTTGTTGAGTCTTCTGCTTCAGTTTGAAAGGCTCCAAGTATTCTACATAGCAGCGGTGCCACATCTTCATGAGATAAACTTGTGTAAAAATGCTGAACAATTCACTTTCCAGTCCAACTTTTCTCAAAATTTTCACATAGGAGGGTTTTCTAAAGGCTCATCACACTGAGGAGTTCAAGAAGGACATCATATATCAATTAACAACAGAACCCAGCTGGCCCTAAGTAAATCGGTTCTCCGTCAGGTTTTTCAGTTTGAGCCCCTAAAATGTCTCCAAACTGATAACCGTGACTAATGACCCAAATCAGCAAAAATTGCTGTAATTTGAGAAAAGTTGAAGCAGACATTGTTGAAAATGCTTAAAATATTTTGACAAAAGGCCAAGATTACAAATTGTTTCAATCTTTTGAAAGCTATCATGTTATTTTCTATTTTTTGCAAATCAAATACTTATTATTCTTTTCACCGATGTAATGATATTAAAATCACTGACAGTTTTAACTAAACGCTGTTTTGTTAAACATGAGCTTGTAAAATGTATTTTAAATGATAGAAGCATTTCTATTTGTTGATAGGATTATAAGTACTACCATTTTTTTGATGCTTCTAAAATCTCCTTCTGTGTCGTATCTTTTCTTGTTTTTTATTTATTTATTTATTTTTTTCTGAATTGGCAGAGAATCGGTGCTGATGATTCTTACAAAGCTGGAGTAATGGGTCTCCGCCAACAGACCTCAGCTTCGCCGAAGAAGATGCCCCTGAAACAGGATTTGCAAACGCAACAACAAATGGCCCAGAATGACAAACAAACCTCAGGGACCATCAGTGGAATGATTGCTGATTTTAGTCGAGCGTTAGGTATGAAAGTGTTTTGATTATAAAAATTCCTTTCGAAGATTTGGCCTCAGTTCTCAAGAAAGTTTATTCCTGTGATTACAGTCTATTTCACCTTTTTAGTTTGTCTAGTTTCTTTTATTTTACAAACTTCAACTCAGCTGAAACTACTCTAAAATAAATGGAGAATCTGCCCAAAAAATTAAGAGGTGCAAAAAGATTGAATACAAAAAATTGCCAAATGATCACTCGTAACTCCATTGCAGGATTTCATGTCATCATCTAGAATAGCGTTGATGCATGATGCACATACAATCCACGTCAATTATCCTATTAAAATCTTCTAGTTGTGCTACTATTAGCATAGTCCAGGGTTAATCAAGCTGCAAAGGCCTTGTTTGAATGAGTGACAGAAAAAATGTTGATTTTGTCTGCTATGTAAGAATGATATGAAAGTTTGTATCTGGGCTCAGTTTATTCCTTGGCAGTGTAATAGCTTTTTACTAAGCGATAAGCGGTCACAAAAAGAAGCAAACCATTCTTAAAATTTCAGAAGTAAAAACCGAATTCTTAAAATCTACAAAAATTCCATAAATAAGAGCTCCTTGAATTTGTAACAGATTATCCAGCTGTACCAATTCATGTCATAGTCAGGATTTTACCTATGGCCAAACAGCATCCCAAAGCATCTCAGATTTTGATGCTTTTGATTTTTTTTAATGATAGACTGAAAAAGAAAGTTGTTCATTAAAATGAATTGTGAATTTTCCACCTAAAATTTATTTTTTCACAAAAGATGTCCAATCAATTGCTCAATAATTAATTTCCTATGCAGGGTTGGGCTCATCCTCGCAACAAGCAGCAACGCAACCGAATGGTAAGCCAACCGACAATCGAAACGAGATGTCATATCACGACGAACACTATCCCAAAGACCCTTACGAGTTCGACAGCCCAGAGCAAATGATGCATCCCTCATACCGTGCAAACCAAATTAAACAGACGGAAGCCCAGCTGAACGAATTCTATAGGTTGAATGACGAGCAAATGGCACAGATGCCACCAAACCAGATCGCAAGAATGCAACAGCTATTACTTGAACAGCAGCAACTTCAAAGGCAACAGGTTAGTCACTCTAAAATCTCAGTGTTTTAAATCTCCAGAGACAAATGATAATTTTCACTAGAGTTTTCTTTCAACATCCTGTAATTTTATACTTATAGAATGTTTTATATTAAGTTATACAAATACTTCAGGGATTGAGTCTTTTACTTTTAAGAGAAATTTTTGAAATCATGACATTCTTTCTTGATGCAAAGAAGATAATGTTGCTTAAACAGGGAAACAAGTTATAAAAAGTAATTCCGATGGAAAAGTTAGGGATTTTTGCTTGACCCTGAAAAGTTAGGGAATTTTGCTGAGGAATCTTGACACTTTTTAGATTTTATTTATCTCAATTATTCTCTATTGCACTTACGTTCTATTGACAGAAATTAGCACTCAAGAATTGAACAATGCAAGTCTTGTTTATTTCCTGTGAGGGGTCACTACCATCGGGTGTCTATCTCGGTCAGTTTTGCGTTAACTCAGGGCATGTGTTAAGAGTGTGTGTAGTAGTGAATTAGTTTTCTAATTTTGAGATTTTTGTCTCTGATTGTCTCTCTACCCCTTTGGATAATGCATATCATCATCAAGTCCACCTTCTGCCTTATAGTTCTCAAATTCTGAATTTTTTCCATTCCAAGAGACTTTGCACCAAAATTTGTCTGTTGAATGTATTTCATCGAACCATTATACCAAAACAATGTATTGCAAAGTCAGGAAACTTAGGTTTTGAAGCCCTAAAAAATCATGGAAAACTGAGGTATTTTTTAAATTCTTGGAAACTTAAAACTCTGTCAAAGTTTTGCCAACAACTCCGAATGTGACCATTCACAGGGAATAGGTTAATAGCACCAAAAAACTAATTATAGAAATATATTACCAAAAGTTTGGCTCAGAAAATACATAAAATTCTTTCACTTAACCAGCAGGGTCCTTGGGAAACCAAGAACGCCAAGAAATTCATCGGAAAAGTCTGAAAAATTTGCGAACAGCGCGTAGAACTTCAACCGGTGCCATATGAGAGTTAGCAAACAACTCGTGTCTTTTCCCTCATTTTGAATCTCTAGAAGTAGAGTTTTCATTCATAGCTCAGCAAAAGTAAACATCATTTTAAAAAAAAAATATATATATATATAGAAGAGACGGTCTTTCTTGAAGGTAAGGAACTCCGGAAATTTTGGAGTCGGAAACATGTGAATAAAAACCAAGAAATTGGAAAATGAAGAAATTATGAAAACACTGCAAACTATAGCTTTGACAATATAAAGTTTAGAGTTCAAATAAAATGGTTTCAAGGGAAAGCTAGTTGAAGGTTTAATCTGCTACGTTCAAAGCTCAACATGTATGGATGTGATTGAACGTCAATGCTTGTTTTGGCTTTCTAATGAACTAAAGTAAGTACTTGCTATTTAAACTTTGGGATTTTTTCAAGGAACGCCAGAGAGTATTTTTATAAGGACTCAAATTTTAGTTTTTTGACACAACCCTGACACAAAGTGCTTTTTTGAAAAAATTTGTCCTCATCTGTAGAGATCCGTATCATCGCGTTGGATGGTCACAAATAGAGTGTGTTTTTTCTAAGCCGCAGCTCATTCATCCTTTTCTATTGCAACAGATACAACATGAACAACAACAGCTTCAAATGTTGTCAAAACAACAACAGCAGCAGCAACTTCAGCAAGCTGCCCAACAGCAGCAGCAGCAGTTGGATCAGTCGTTTCTGTTGGCCAATCAGAGCAGACTCACTCCGCAGCAGCAGAAAATGTATCAGCAACACATGCAACAACAGCACTACGCAAATCACATGCGGAAAATAAGCCGGACGCTGCCACCACAATATGCCAACGCAGTTCCACTTAAAAGCCTTCAGGTGATGATTTTTTTGATAAAAGGAATTTGCGTTGTCCAGGGAAATCTTCCAATCTGATAACTCAGCTCACTTCAACAAAAATCCCTAAATTTAAAATGGTGCCTTCACGGTAAAAGGCTCCTTTTCCTATTGAAAAATCATCGTTTTTTACAATACTTTCCATTGAAGATTCTAACATCAAAACTTAAGCGTAAGAGAATGGTTATGCAGAAAAATGGACTTGGCAGGTAATCATAATTAAATACTTGTTGAGATGAATGCCTTTTTCTTCCCTGCTCATTCTCTATTATTCAAATTTTCTGCTTTTGCATGTTTTCCAAATCGTGTTGAATCATCCATTTTCAACTCTGAAAAGTCCAAAACTTCACTCAAAATCGGTATCACTTAACTTTCATCGACCCACAAATGAATGTTCCTAAAAATGTTTGACAAGAGCTACAATCAGATTTCTTTAGAGGAATTAATTCTTGAAAAAATGTGTAATTTACAATTTCCCTCTACCTGTGAAATACAAACCTGCTGTCAATAGCAATATTAAACCATTAGATGAAATTCATTTCATAGCTTCAGTTTTGAATACATATTGTATATTTATTTAATTGCATTTTATCGTCTCAAAATTGCTGTTTTCAATACTTAAATCTCAGTACTTTTGAAATAGCTTTTTTATTGTAGTTTATATCTATTGTGTCTCTATTTTCCTAAACTCTGCCAGATAGTTTACTTCAGTTAAAAGTCAATTGAAGATATCGTCAATTGAAGATATCTCGGAGGGTTAATCATCTGAACTGGATCGAAGCTTATCAAGCAACATTAATGTAAAAGATAACATCCCAAAATTGTATTTTACAGATAAATGTGGATATAAGTTACTGATGTTGTCGTCTTTCTGACAAAAGGGCGTATCTCCAATTCCGCATGAGCCCTGGAGAGCATAAAGTTTCATGGACAGGTCAAAATGAAAACAGAGATACGCCCTTACACTAGAGGAGCAACAATATTGTTCTCTATTTTATTATCTCAGTGCATTTGGAAGTTTTTAAATGTAAGCTTTATCTGTTTTCAGAAGAAAGAAAGTAATGCAGCCTTGGCGAACGTAAATCAGGCAATCACAATGCAAAGGCTGAACCAACAAGCACAAATTTTAGGACAACAAGCTCTGTTGAATAATCAAATTCTTTTAGCAAATGCTGCTGCGGGCTTGGATGGCTCCAAGTTAGCCCAAGTCAGACTGAGTGTGCCCGGGGGGCTAGTCACAGATGGTAAGCTTCAATATTTCTTAGGAATTCACAAATGACCCAAGTGCAAAACAGCGAAAAATTGTAATATCAGTAACAGTGCTAAGGAGAGTGTTTTAAGAATGTTTTGGCTTAAAAGCCATAAAAAACTGTAGAAACAAACTGAAACTATGGCCTTATTGCTAGCCAAAATGCGAAATCATGTATCTCGATCGTAGGGGTTAAAAATTTCTGCTCTGATTTTATTTTTTTGAAGAGACTGAGAAACAAGCCAACTTTAAGGCTTATAATTTGTACAGAACATTCTGCTTACGGAGAAGAAAAATCAAGGCAGATTTTGAGAATTTATGCTGACTAGTTTTCCCATGAAAAAATGAAATATGACAGTGAGTTTGCAACATTGCAAACAGAGATTCATGGTTTCGACTTCGGCCATCAATATGAAGTTTGCATTTAGAAATTTGCAGTTTTAAGAGTTCCGTTCTGTCTCACTTCACATTATTTGAGAATATGTTAATTAATAATCTAATCTAATGCATTGATGGCTAACGCCCAAAAATGTGTAAGTTTATCGCAGCATTTTAAAATCTCTAATTCTGTGTAATTTTTTAAAGAAGACAAAGTGAAATGTTCCCTCAAAATTTTCTTCAGATAATTTTGAATGAAAAAAAAATTTAGAAAATTTCAAGAAAAACTGTTGATCTAATTTTTTTTCTCCCACGAAAGAAAACATCTGGTTTAGGGAAAAATATACCATTTCATGATATATGTTTCTTTAATAAATGTGCAGTCCCTCTTTTTTTTGAAAAAGCTCGGCCACCCAGAAATTGAAACAAAAGTTGTCACTCTTGAAAATTGCCCTCTGGCCCCATATTCGCCTTGCGGTTACCGTAAATTATTGGATTGAGAATTTTTTAATCATATTCTTTGTTTTCAATAAGTGAATTTTCATTCGTTAATTTTTCACAAATATGGGCAATGGTTTTCCTTCTTCAATGACGAATGCGATATTTTGAACATCAGATCAGAGTCCCATGAGCTGTTGCTAGACTCCCTACATAATCTTTCAACCAACGACCAGTTTATAGTCCTGATCACGTTTGCAAAACCCTGAACTGATGATGAAAATTAAATTCAACTTTAGTCACGGGCAATTTGGCAGGAAAGTCTAAGCCATGTCCATTTAATTATAAAAGAAGAATGATCATTTGTTATCGTGATCTCTTTTTTTAATACGAGCTTCAATAAATCTGTCAACAAAAAGATTCGCTGTGTGGGTGACTTGTTCCCCTATTTCAAGAGTTTCAACAGGTGAATGATTTTTCTATTTTTAGCTTTGTCGTATCTCTCTAAATCTAAGTAATTTGATGTCTTTAGTTCATCAAATAATGCTTTAAATTGTTTCCTGTTCAGGTGCTACGATTGTCACTCCAAATATCACTCCGGTGGGAACGCCAAGAGGTCTTCGTGATGCTGGAGGAGACTCTTCAGACACACTCAGTGAAACGGACTCTCAAAAATCCTTGCGTTTGCGCCGCAAGCTGCCTTCTATCCCTGCTGACCAAGATATCGTGTCGCTTCCTCTTCATAGAAATAAAGAAAATCAAAAATCGGCCAAGAAAGGCCAGAGTAGAATTAGGTATGTATCAAAAAAGTTACTTTAATAAGCAGTACATTTATTCAAACCAGTAGTCTAGAAAGAAATTCGAAAATCTACGTGGGGTATAAAATTTTTCTTTTCTTTTCCACTCCAAATTTTTTAAGCAGGACGGTGGGGATTTTCTGACACATTCCTCTTGTAAGTCAAATGCTAGCATAAATTCAGGAATGTAGGTTCTTCAGTTTGCAGTGCTTGGGAAAATTGCTGTATGAACAATCAACTGCTGCCAATTTTACTTGAAAAGAAGACTTATTTTCGAGGGAAGTTATGAATATTTTTCATTGAAATTTTTAGACCTTCAAGATCAAACTACTTATAAAATTCTCTGAAAAATTAGAAAAAAAAATACTTACAAATTTTCCTGGAAATTCGTGATTTGTCAGAGGAAGTTTAGCAACATCCAAAAGCTCACATAAAGTTTTTCTTTAGCAGAGTTTTTAATTTAGGTGAGTAGAATCTAGGGGAAAAAAGAGAGAAAAAACAAGACCAAAATAAAGCATTTTGATTATTCAATGTGAAAAATGTGTATCTCCTCCGCAAAATTTCAAATTCTAGTATTTTTTTTTTTTTTTTTTTTCAGAAAAGGGAAACTAGCCAAAATATCTCTTTGAAATTTTTTGTGAATGTGTTTAAAGGAGAGAAAAATTCACAGAAAATTCCATGAAAAGCTTTAGGTTGATTTTTTTTTTCAAGAAATTGAAAGACCAGCAAAGAATTACAATGTTGCAATTGCAGATACAATTTTTCATTTATTTTTTAACTTAAGTAATTGATTTTTTATGTAACCATCCACAGGGCAAAAGACTTTAGTTGGCTCAACATAAATTGGAAAGTTGGTACGCTTTCCTAGAGGAGTATCTAAAGAATTCACAAGAAATGCTCTAAAATGTCAAACCAAACTGGAGTTATGCAAGATTTTAGTTTAGAGTTCAGAGAACATGGTCTTGAGACAAAGCTATTTTAAGCTCTAATCACCCAAACTCAGGGCTCAAACCTCTATCAAATCATGCTTTTATGCTAAATATCACACATAACGAATTAATTTTCTCGTAAAATAATTCTCTTGGACACTGGAGTGTTTGTTTTGTAAACTCAAGTCCGAATTTTTCAACCGAACTTAAAAAAAATTGTTTATCTACAAAATCTGCCTTCGTCCTTCAAAGCTTTTTTTCCTGTGAGTGGCTAGATATTGAGTTTCATATCATTTTTCGAGTTTTTTTCATTTGGACCTTTTTCGTTTAGCCTTTTTTAGAATTTCAAGATCGTTCCCACTGAATCAATATAGATAATCTAGAGACTAACATGCTTCAGGTTTTTCGCTCTTTTTTTCTCTCTCTGTCACTTCTTCTCCTTCATACTAGACCCTCAAAATCTTAAAGAATTGATGTAACACATAAAAAAATTTATAATTAGAAAATCCTCGTTCAGTTTCTAACTATCCTTATCTTTTTGTCTGTTATCTCGCATGTGATTTTTATCTATGTACCTGTAGTAGTTGAATCTTAAAGTCCGTTAAATAATTATGCTTATAATGAGGCAAGGTCTTAAAGGATGGGCGAATCATGCTGTATCAATAACCCTTTACGAATATTTGAAATCCTCAGTGTTCTAACACAAAAGATGCTTATCACATTAGTCAGCCTATGACCAATAGATTCATTTTCGCAGGTCCTTTTCTCCGTTACGTCAATTTGATGGTGGAGGCTACTTGGTTAGCGGAAGAAGTTCCAATCTCATATCACAACGACCCAGTTGCAGTGAAACGAATCTTCACAAAAGCTGTGCCGGCATAGATCCAACGCCAAGACCAGGGTCTGCGCTGGGTCTTCTACAAGGTAATTTAATGAGGCAGAACCGTTCTATTTGTTATTCTTGTAATTAGAACCTAAACTTGTTTTTAGCCAAAGGGTCAAGTTATGCAGCTTTGAATTCTAGTATTTATGTTTAATAGGTTAGCAAAATTCATCCCAATGCCTAGTTTTTATATTCAATGTAAAAAGAGAGACATTGCCATGTGAAGAACATAGAGAGTGATGCCATCCACAATGTTCTTAGAGGAACAAAATCTCCTTTAATAGTGAGCGTAAAAACTTGCCAGTTGGACAGATCTTAATTGTGTTCATCAGTTTATAAGAATCAACCATTCAAACATGATTCTGTAAAATGAGCGACCAACAGTTTCAAAAAGAAGTTGTTTTGTCGTTGTTTTTTTCTAAATAATTTTGTCACTCTGCAGTTTGGCTAATGTTTATGTCTTTGAATTGGTAACCTTAAACTCTTTCGAACCCTAGCTTGACAAATAATGTTCAAGTCTGTATTTCAAACATTCCTCTTCACGTTATAAAAGGAAAACGGTTTGTGTTGAGAACAAAGTTGATGAAAGTTGCAGAGAATTGAAGTTGAATTTTAAATGTTAGCTAAAGCTCATCCTTGATTCAATCAAAAAGCGAAAAATTACTTTGGTTCGGATTTGTAAATATAATGACTGACATTGCTGATGGATTTTTAAGATTTTAAAATTAAGATGTCTCTTCGAAAAATTTGAGTCTTATATTGAATCTAAAAACAAGGAGAAGTGCTGATCACTGTTTTTATGTTTCTTCTTACAGCATCTAGTGTCATCAATAGCACAGGCACAAAAGTATCCTTTGATTTTCCAAACCAGACTAGTGAGATCGCATCCTGTTTACCGCCGGATTTGCGTCACTTGCTTGATTCCTACAAGGACTATTCTTATAAACAGGTATTACTTAAGTTTTCAAAATCATTCATCATTATTACTTTTATTAATTAAGTCATTTTGTTGAACTGATCGTATTTTATGTATTACTTATTGTGTATTTTTCTTGTAAAAAAGTTCATCCTACTACTTAGGAATGAATAAATAAATATGGTTCTCTTTGGAGTAGTTAAGCCTTTGGAATGAAGAAAAAGCATCATTATAGGCCGATTTTGGGCTTCATCTTCAATATGTCCATGCTGATTTTCTAAAATGCAGGTTTTTAGGCAAGTTTTTTGTCACTATCTGCCTTCTTCTCATAGTCTTTGAAAGCTAATTTCAACTTTGTATTAATTGATAAAAAAAATTAATAAAAGAAAACTAAAGACTTTTCAATGTGGCCTGACCGCACATTGTCACCTTTTAAAATGTTTGGGCCAACTCTGAACTAAATTTTCTATTAACTTGAAAATTTGTATTTGTCCACAATTTGAATGTCAGATAAGTCGATTTATCACTTGATAAAACAAGGATGCGGAAAGTTCTTAGCCTTCCCATTTTTTAAATTGGCCTTTTCATTTCAGAAATCCTATTTTCCTCAGAAATTTCATAAGAATGACTTTTTTATGGCTCTTTCCGTATTATGCTGCGACTTTGCGGAACACTCCTGATTTTTACTGCACCTCTCCAAAAACAACGCGATTTTGCCGGCTTTCCCATCTGGAAACACAATTCTCAGGGCCTTCCCAGTTTTACATGTGACCAATGGCGACCCACCCGGTCGCGCGGTCGAGAAGTTTTTGCACCCCTGTGATAAAAAATCAGTCGATAGAAGTGAAGTTAAAAACCGCATAACAACCCTGGAACTTGCCAGAAGAACGCTTAGCTTGTCGTACAACATAATAATAAGACACCATTCCTTTGTAGTGCGAAAAAATTGCCTATGAAATATGCTCTGCTCTTAAACCCTCAGTGACACAAAGTACGAATGTTAAGCGTATTTGCATAACTGTTGCAGTTATTATACGCTGTCTTATGTCAAATAAAAATCAGCTTTTGAATTCTTTTATTTTTGTTAAACAGCGGTCCCTCATACTGATACCTAAGCATGGTATCGCTCATTTTGAAGTATTTTTTCCAGGCTCTTTGCTCTTACATTGTATCTTATTTTCTATTTTTAGTCTTCTTCGTTAAAACCGAGGCATTCAAGTCTAGACGCAGGAGATATCCATGGCTCATCAGAGAGTAGGCTACTCAGTGGATTATCCAGTGTGGATTCCCATTTAAATCGAATCTCCCTTCAAAATTCTAAAAATAGGTAAGCGCATCCCTTATTTTAAACCGTTCTTTTTTTGTCAGTGGTCAGCAGCATTGGTCCCAGAATTCTTTTTTGAAAGTTTAAGCCTACAAATGGGCAAAACTCATTGAGATCTCTTCAAACACCGAATTTCAACATCCAATTTTAACAGGGATGTTGCCCATCAAAAAAAGCAAAGTCTGACTTATCTGTCATCAATGATATGTCGACAGCCAAAGTGCGAAACCACATATCTCTGTTTGCAACGTTAAAGGCTTCCTGTCATACTTGATTTTTTTTCATTTGAAATCCAGTCAACTCAACCTTTTTAAAATGTCCTTAATTTTTCTTCTTTATTAGCAGAATTTACCACAGAAATTTCAAGCTATATAGTTGATTAGTTCCTCCTCGACAAAATAAAGTAGGAGCAGAGACTTTGAAATACAGCGATGGAGGTATGTGGTTTTGCACTTTAGTCATCGGTATAGCCATCTGCGGGCCGATTATTGAAATTGATAGACGAAGCTATAGACAAAGAAGACAAACGAGATTTGGAAGGATCGTATTGGTGGAAGCGGGTGGTTGCAATGGACAAAGGAGGTAGATAATGGACTAAGCAACGGCAATCCACGAGGGACACGATAGTTGGTCCATCATTTTCTCCCTTAGTCTATAGGAACCACACATTTCAACCAATAGGATCGCTCCATATTCCCTTTGTTTCCTTCGTCTATAGCCTTGTCTATAAATTTCAATAATCGGGCCGCAGCTCAATGTCTCATCCCTGTTTTTGATTCATTTTCTACTCTGTCTAGTGGTCTATTGGCCTTAGTTGAGCAGAGAGGTATCAAGTGTATGTGCTCACTCTTACAAAGACAAGTCTGTAAAAAAAATTCAATGTCGTTTCTGGAATGAGCAAAATAATTGTTCATTTCTGCTGAACTCAATCCAGTTCTTTCTTTGTCCTCTGGTTAATGAGGAAACCTTTCATTAAAAAAATTGTGTATCCAATCCACAGGTTATCGGCTGTCAGAAGGAAAGCAGGACTTTCGGACTGGGGTGTCGCTCGGAAATTGAAATTTCACCGTAGACAACTTTCAGATCCAAAAATCTACCTAGACTATGACTATGAGAGAGATAGCGAGCCTTTCCAGTCCAAATACAGCAGGGTAAGCTCCTTGTTTTTCCCCAGTGAATGTAACTTGTCCCTGCTGATCATATTTTGTGGCCTCTAGGTGTGCGTCACAGGCCAGGCAGTTTCTGTCTGCGGATCGTTTTCATCTCATCACCCAGCATTAAAAATGTTATCTTGGCCTGGTGAAAAAAATCTTTCCTCGACATGTTGGATGAAACATGTTAACAAGACTTCAGTGAGACAGTAGCGCACTCTTAATTCGTCGTTTCCTGGACGAGAGAACCTAACTTTATTCCAAGGTTGCAAAATTGACTCAGACAATTCAACTTTTCGTAAGAATGTACCTGTGTGTGAAAAAGAAAATTTTAATTTCGATTTTAATGTATTGCTGCAGTTGTTTGTCCATTGTAGATTTCTGTCATGAGGAAAATTTTTTCATAGAAACCAAAAGATCAATCTCTAGATTCATCCTTACAACAAGCTCTTATTTACACCGAAAAAACAAGAAAAATCATTTTTGAAAACTTAATAATTACTTCTGGTGCTTTTTCTAAAACATTCTGTTAATGTAGGTGTATTGTATCGATGGTATATTGGAAGTAGCACTTTCTAGATAAGGTTTCAAAGGCTTCTTTTTGGTACTAAATCTTCTCCAATAACTGATCGGAAAGTCCCTTTGGCCATAGAAACTTTGCGTTTGGTCTCATTCTATTACTTATGCCTAACCTGCAAGCCTGAAGCATCCAAACACAATTTTATGATAGAGGCAACTAACTCATTGCCCCTCATATTGTTTACCATCGTTACTTTTTGTTCCCATTGTCCCTCTTTTGGTCTTGTTGTTCTGAAAACATACACTTAAATTGATGTATAAGAAAAAACCTCACAAACTTTGGTCAAAGAATCTAATCGCCCAAAGTTCACAAGCGATAGCATTAGCTATCAGTTTGTTTGTTTAAGTTTCCTTTCTTAAGCCTCATGAGTACAATACAGCATGTAACATTTTAAGAATTAACTAAAACATTCTTGGTGGATTGTGACAGAATTTAACTTCTGAGAAAAATCTATCCGTGGCTCATATTGTCATACAATTTTCAGGCCTATGGAAAGTATATGCATCCATCGCTGCGACCACCATTCAAATCTTATGAGTACGAATCTTTAGACGACGGGCTCAAGCGCTCTGAACTAGATGTCTCTGACTATGCGATGGCTGGCGGAGCTTTGAGAGAAACGGCCATCAACAGTGTTCTGGACAGTGATCCATATTACTCTGACAGGTAGTTAACGGCTCCTTTATTTGCTACCCCTGCCATACATAGCTTATCTTTACTTTCCGCCCTGACTTATTCGTTTCCATTGTATGAGGTGTTCTTTTTTCCGTTAGGTCAGCCCCATTGTGAAAGAAAGGTACACTCTTTACTGAAATACCTTTTCAGTCTCCTTCATATAGTTAATTTCCCCCCCCCTTAAATGTAAGTGGCCATTCAATGGAAAATGAACGTTAGCACTAAATTGCAAAACTCAAAATTGAGATATTGGTATCACTACCGGCTGAAATTTAAAAAGATGCTCATTGAAAATAAGAAAAGAAGACCAAATCAGGACCTCCAAAACGTGCTGTAGGCCTTGAGGGCACAAATTATTAGCTGATTTTGAGTCTGAGAAAGCCAGAAAAAGCGAGTGAACGACAGAAATTGCTATGCGGTTGCCAAATAAATAGAGTGTATCGATTAGTTTTACTTTTTTTTTGCTGTCAAGCCTGCTGCCAAATTTCGTTTTTGAAAATTGAACTTTTTCTGGAGATTAGAAACCGAAACCTATTCTTTTTGACTATGTTTTTATGAAGATGGTGAAGCGAGCGAGCGAACGAAATGGCACCTGTTGTTGGTTGGTTTTATAAAATCAGGAGTGCACCCTGTGTTATTGAGTTTCTCAAGCCCGAGACCTGTAAATTTTCTACCTTTTTTTAAAGGTTTCCTAATTCAAGAGCTTAACTTTAGAATTTATCATTGAAAATATAGGCCCAAGGAAGGAATGAAATTGAGCATGAGGCCCTTTAGGGGGAAAGAGGTTTGTTATACCATGAAGGAAGGTTGGCTCAAGGGAGAAGGAGTCATTTACAAAATTTCCAATTCAAGGGGTCAAATTTATCGTTTTGAGTCAGTATTTGTGATTGTCAGGGTAGTTTTTATCAAATTAAGTTCAGTTGAACAGAAATAGACAGAATTTAACAGAAATTAACCAAGTCATATCAGCATCATCCTGCAAAAATTAGGTTTGAAGTCTTCTTCCTAAATCGGAAGATCGGAGATCGTCTTCTTTATCGGAGATCAAAAACACCTTTCTTTCATATTCAAGATCTTTTTCCTCAACTGTGAATTTTTAACAGGAGAAAATGTGCAACTGCTGAACCTCGAAATCACTCTAGCCTCATTTCCCCCCTAAATCTGACTTAATTCTTTTCCGATTGATTCAGTTTTAAATCTTTAGATAGTCATATTCGAGGGAGCTGATCTTTTGAAAATTATTACTTGAATATCGAGTTATGGCCCTAAAGGGGCCGTATATCACATTTTAATTCAAAGATCCAAGGATGTTATGAAATTAAGTTCCGTTTAATGGTATGCTATTGAGTGCCTCATTTCTCTCTTTCAAGTCTCATTGTGTGTTTTGATAGAGACGTCACCCCAAAATCATTTTTGGCCAGAAACTTTTAAAATAATTCAAATCTTTCCACCCTCCACCCTCCACCCCCCTCCTACAATTACAGGATTTTTCACTAAGTCACCCCAACGGGACGGGGAAAATGCCCAGCTTCCTTGCTTCCCCCTCCCCTCCCAGGTACCCATAGAGAGTAATAGTTGCCAGTACTTTGTTGTAAATAGTTAAAACTACTTAGTTAGTTTTGAAAGCATTTAAATGAAAAGGAACTATATCTATTGTGATATGAGCCCTGTCATGCATGGATTCTTATGGATTTCAGGACTCATGTCAAAATGGACATATTTCCTTTTGATTTTAATACGTCCGATTGTCAGTATGCATGTCTGTAATTTATAGACCCTCCATTATTCTCTCCATGAATGAATCCTGGAATTAATGTGTTCAATCTGGCACCTATGTAGTTAATCCCTGTATCCTGTAGCCTAGGGATGAGCTTTTCCTTGTAGTTCATCCGTAGTCTTGCACTATGATCCCAAGGTATGGTCCATTCTAAAACGGAGCTTCACTAAGGTGAATGTGGGTACTAATTCGATGAAAACAGAAGTGGTTTTTGAGGTCGAAACAGTTGGTTTCTTTTCTCTCTCAAATCAGAAATGAAAATTCCCCTTTTCCATCTACATAGTTTTATTGAGAAATAAAACTTGAGACCTTTTCTGTTTAGTTTCAATTTGATGTCAGTCGGCTCTATGTAAAACTTTGTCTAAACAATTTCTATCCAAAAAGAGTAATGCATGTCGGTCTGAGTAAGAACTATTGAGCCCTCGTAGTTAAAAAATCAGAGCAAGACCCTTACAGTCTCACAAGTCTGAAAATCTAGCTCTAAGTCCGCAAATCTACCTAGTACCTAAGATTTTAGGCTTTGTACTACATTCCCATTTGTTTAGTTGATTTTTTTCCCCTACCATTTTCCTTCATCCCTCATTATTTTAAAGTTCGATGATTTTTTTATATTTTATTTTTGCTAATTGATCTTTCATAGCACTACAAATCAGATCGTTCAATTTTTGTAATTGGCCAATTTAAAATTATCCAAGTGCACTAACTCTTTCAGAATTTTTTTATCTTGAGGTCTTAGAAGTGTTTTTGGTTTGAAAAAAAAGAGACAGCTCAAATCCCAGTTTGAGCTTTGCCTTTGTAGAAATGTGTCAAGCTGATAGTGGATGTAGTGATAAAATATTAGGCTTTAACAACTGGTCTTAGCTCTGAAGGAAAATGGGAAAGCCCTTAAAATGTGATGGAGGGCAAAAAGAAGGTCCTCTCTTTTCCTTTCTTTCTTTTTTTTTTTTTGTCGTTCTAAAATTTTCACTCTCTGATTTAAATTGGACTAATTTAACTGCTCAATAATAATTTTACGGTAATATATTTTCATTTTTCGTAAGAAGACAATAAAAATTCTAATAGCCAGATTCAGTAAAATTTAAATTTTCTGCAACTAGTTACCTCAAACGTCAAAGTAAGGAAGTGTGGAGAAGTTGAGTTCATCACTCTTCTTGGAGTAAAATTGAAACTCTCGATGCATGGAATAGATAAATGCAATTTTTGGGAAAAATGGTATTCTGGTGACACGAACTCGAAAACTAAATAAATCTTTCTGAAATGTCAGTATTAGCTTCTGTCGAGTCATGAGACTGATCGTAATCTTTCAATCGAAACTTTTTTTCTGAAAATCTCAAGAACTTTACTTCTTTTATTCACGGGAAACTTCGGTATCTGTTATCTTAACTTCAGTCATCGTTGATGAACAAATTAAAACTTAAAAGTCCTAATCTCTGAATGGTTGGATTTACAACCAGTGGGCTCATATTGAAATTGTTAGACAAAGCGATAGACAAAGAAGACAAAGGGTAAACAGAGCGATCCTATTCGCTAAAAGGGGTGGTTGTTTTAGACAAAGGGAGAAAATGATGGACTAACTACAGGGTCTCTCGTTGGTTGCCATTCGTCAATCTATTACCTACTTATATTCTTTGTCTATTGCAACTACAGGTTTCCACCAATAGGATCACTCCATTTTCTCATTGTCTTCTTGTCTATCACTTTTTTTATCGATTTCAATAATAGCCTGCAGATCTCAGCAACAGTAAAATGTATTGTTAATTTGCCTCATTCTTATGTCACATCTTGTTATGGAAAGAAATGCTTACACAAGAGGTTTTTTGGTTCTGAAGCTGCTCAAAAATTTAAAGTGCTTAATGAAAGTTTCTTCGTGGCGAATTATACTTTTTATTTACATTATTGTGAAACTCTAGTTCAGTTTTGACTTTATAAGACGTAGTGAAGATAGCAATTGGTGTCCTAAGTTAAGTATTTTTCTATTTTTGCCCAGTTATGGAGAAACAGGCAATTTTTTCAATTGTGAATTAATGCTTATCGATACGATCATTTGCCCGCAATAAACTAACAGAAATTTTAAGATGACCTAAGCCATGAAATGATCAAGAACAAGAAACTGTGAATCTTTCCAGGTATAAATCTGGAGGTATAAAATTAAAATTATTTATTAGAAAAATAAAAAATGATTCTATGATAAAGTTTTTTATCCAGTCATTGAACCAAGAGGTTAGTGAAAATTACCGATGGTAAATAGTCCAATTTGTCTTCTAGGAACTTTCTTTATATGCACTTAAATTTTTTGGGGCGAAAAGAAGGGTTATGGGCATCTGTCCTTTGTGAGTCATCTCTAGGCAGCACATTTTGTTTATCATTAAAAGTAGTTGGCATTATTGTGGCTAATTTTTCTTTATTCTCCTCTTCTTATTGTCCTGATTTGCGTGGATTTTGAATCCAATTTGATTTGTCTTATTGTGGAATGAGATTGCAAGTAAGATGCCTGATCTTTGTACCATAATGGGTTTGCATCTGTTGTGCCATCTCAGATTCAGATTCATTTCTGTGAAAAGTATATGTTATTTTATGTGCATGGTCTGTGTAGGGAGTGGCGTCTACGCGATCACTAGAAGAAGTGGGATATGTTCCAGGTATGACACGAGGCGATACAGCGACTGCATTGACTCTACTAGGCGTTTAATGTCGGAAAAAAGTCAGAAGTCCCACTCTTGGCAACCCTCTCCATATGCCAGCGACGAAGAGGAGGACCAATTCTCGCGTGAAGAAAGGAAGGCAAGGATTAAAGCCGAAATTGCGCGTCGTAGGCAGCAAATAGAGGAGAACGCACGATTGCATGAAGAGCTCTTAAAACTAGCCCGTTTGAGAGAAAGTGTAGAGTTAGGTCACAAGTCGACGACAGGTTTGTCCAGCCTCAAAAGTAATCAAGTCCTCAGCAGCGGTTACGCTAATTCACATATCCTTGGCTCTGTCGATGATCTTCTTATCACAAGTTCAAAACTCGATAAAAAATATCTCAACCCGAGAAGAACAGCGGAAGATAGATCCATGGACAGAATAGCCTCAACTTTCCGAACTGATGATTACACGTCAAACGTCTATGAAAGATTGTTTGATTTCTCTCCTCTCACTGATTACACACCACACGCAATGCCTCTTCTTCCAGATATGCCAACACGATCTCGGAAACTTCTAGAGGACCTAGGCAGTTCTCCGTTCACAGAATCAGTTTTGAATAATATGCAAAAAAATTCATACTCACCCAGCTAAGTAGTTAACGAGTGATTTTGTAACATTGCCAAGTTGTTATACTTTATTAATTCATTTTGATATGTGTAAATATGTATATTTGTACATTCAAACACTTTTAGGTAGTTTTAATTTTTTTCCTTTGTTTTTATAGAAACTTGTTCTTTTTGTTTAAGATCTAAAGTGAGATTTGTAGTATTTACCAGGTGTTCCACTTGTTTTTAAAAAAACAGCTTAAAATACTACACCAATTTTCCCAATTTTTATCACTGAAAATGTCATTTTAAAGAAATCGAGATAATTTTTAAAATTGTCTAATATAAATTGCCTATTTCATCATTGATAATTGCCATACAAAAATTTTGCCAAGCTTGCGTCGTTTTTTTTTTTATCATTTGATTGATTAAGTACAGAGGTCTGTGTAATTGTAAAAAATAAGGCATTGCCGAGGTCAGGATACCTCGGAAGAATGAATTCTTGAGCTCATGTACCAATCTCCAGAGAAATGTACGTAAATTACTAAGTTAAGAAAGCAATAACCCTTTCCTTGTGCATCTTTGCTGTTAATTTTTGAGGATCAATCAGGTAGCCTTATTCAATGACCATGAACGCTACAGTCCATTTTTTTTTCCCAAAAATACAATTTTTCAATGAGTGAATCAAAGAATTTTTTGAATCATAAAATAAGCATAGCGCAATGAATTAAGTAATAGCTCATTCCAAGTAATACGTTTTTCTCACTGGAGAAACTGGCCAATCTTCAATTGACAATTTAAAGTGATTTTGTTCCATTGACCTTTTCTTTGTCAATTATTCATTTGTAACTTCTTTTAAAATGAGTGAAGCAAGTATCGTGTTTCGGACTCGTTCATTTTTTTTTGTTTACCATTACACATAGCACGCTCAGGAAGGACCACCATTGATTTAGGTGATGAACTTTTTAAGAGAAGATAAAGGAATGTCCAGAAGTCCAACTTAGATCTCTCAAATTGGAAATGTTCTAAAAGCGTTCGAAAACCAAAATAATTACAGGATAAGGTTTTACTCCAAAATATTAGGGGGAAAAGAAACGTTAAAAACTTTAACTGAAGAGACTAAAATTTCTCAGCTTTGCTTGATTATTCTTTGCGTGGCAAGTTTACACAGTCATGAGAATGAAATTTTTAGAAAATCCTATCTTAAACCAGGAATAATTTTAAAATAACAAAGGGCTCTTTGTTCAGAGCAAATTGCACGAGAGCTGATGAATTTTTTCCCTGAAGCCTGCTGCCACTGAAATTGACCTCCGGCTAATTGAGATTATTTTCTCTGAACTTGTTACTCAATTATATACTTAGACTTTTCCAGTTAAATGCCTTTTGGATACAAAACAGGTTACTGTGAGGATCTACGAAAAGAATTGCTCAGTTAACACAAGAACCAAATGGCATTTATCATCCACCAATTTGCCAAAAAATTCCCAAGGATTTACCCTTAAAATCTTGGCAGTGACATATCTTTAAGTCAAAGTTATTGTACAATATTTAAGACCTTTATTTTGTTTTCCATGAGGAGCAAATTCTATGATCTTACAATTAGTCAATCGCAAGACCAAAACCATCAGCCACTCTAATGCAAAAGATTTTATGATTAGCTGTCTAGATTTAGGCAGCTGTTTTCAACTGAAGTCTCACAACTTTTCATGTAGATCAACAATTAAAGGCAACTAATGGTAGAAATTTCATTTCTGTTTCCTGCTTCCCATTTGACCGAGCCCTTTTTATTTTGATTTTGCGCTTTCAACATAGCTCAATTGGACCGCATTTGAAGGGCTTGCAGGACAAGGCGCATAAGTGCAGTTTTTGAAAACATTAAGATATTAATGCTTTCCAGTAAAGCTAGTCTTAATGCATATCCTGTGAAAAATTCACTCTCGAATTCCAATTTTTAAGCATCAAAAAGTCAGTTTGAAATTTTTTTCTGCCATAAGGATCCATGTAATTTCGAAACTTCAGACACGTATTCCTCGAAATAGCAACCAATGCACTTATGCGCCTTGTCTCCAAGCCCCTCTTTTTATAATCTGGAACTACCATTTCTGACTCATGGGAAAAAGCACCTATCTGCTGGAGAAAACAGGTAACATGCTGTTTCATAAATGGTAGTTCCTCATTACAAAATCACGTCAAATTAATACAAGTTTCCGTTTCAAATATTACTTTGTGTTCCAAGAGAAACTCCAACTGATGGATGATGTATTCAGTCTTGAAAACAACAACTAAATTAGTAACCTTTATCGGTCAGTTTTCTCTATCGTTTGTGCTAGAGAGGCCCTTTATGAGGCAATTTTAGTCTCAAACGAAACAGATAATCTCTTTCCGAGCGAAGTATCACAAATGGCATCTTTGATACAATTAAGTTGGTACAACAATTCGCAGCTCAGGACTGTTCCTGTTCAAAATTTTTGCTACTACAGTAAATTAAGCACCAGAGGCGTGGCGTGCTTTGGGACATATCGATTGATCTGCCATTCAAACGTATGGAAAAGGATCGATAAAGAGGGTGTTTCCAACAACGCTTTAATAATCGATTCTTTGCTACAGCTTTGAATGGGGAAATATTGATAGTCGATCACTCACGCCTCGCCACTGATAAGCACGTTCTACTGTAAGTGACTGTCCTCAGAAAAAGTGCTCTTATTGCGTTGCGGCACAATTTTCAGGAAAGCGTTCTCTGTAAAATAGGAATTTGAGTTTTCAACAAAAGACACTCCTTAGTTTTCTGAACAGCAAGTTCGAAGGATTACTTTAATTCGTGTTCGAGTAGAAAGCATAAAGCTCTATTTCAAGCTATGAATTTCAGAGATTGTAACTTCAAAGGTTTTCCTCCAAATTATTTTTTTGAACATTGCTGTCACAATCGAAGTTTGAATCGATCTTTTTTCATACTTTTCTTCCCCCGTACAAATGTTCATTATTACCCACTCAAAAAGTGATGCCATTATCTCAATTTTACATTTATTGGTATTTAGGTTCCAATTCCCTTTCCTGGGTATGGTTTCTTTTGAAAGAAAATTTCTTGCTTCAAATTATGATCACGATCATGAAAGAGAAAAACTGCTGTTACCGAAAGAGTCACAGAGATTTTCGAAAATCGAGTGTATTGAGCAGCTCAAAATTTCTTTTCTAATTTTTCAGAAGGTGGATGAAATAGAGAATTTTGAATCACAACAGGGCGGTGAAATTGCAAAAACACGTGTCTTAGTTTGCAACGCTGCAGACTTTCTATCATAATTTTTTTTTTGTTTGTTCGTTTTTTTTTTTGAGTTTTGTGGCTTCTATTCCTTTGTATTATTCTATCATAATTGATTCTCTCAATGAAAAGATTCTCACTGTTATTTATTGGAAGCTTCCCTGATTTTTTTTTCTTTGTGCGAAGAATGTTCTGTGGAAATTTCAAGGGATAAGGTTTATTCTAAATGAAAATTCTAAAATAAAATGGGGGCCGAAATTTTGAAATATCAAAAAAAAAAAAATACGACTTCTTCAGTTTCACTATTAAAATTTTAAATCTTAATTTAGTAGCTGTAATTGCTCTTTTTATTCTTACAAAGATTGGCCAGCGTGATATTTTGTTCGCAACGAGCCAAAATTATTCAAAATGCTTTTCGTCACAGAAATTTCTTTTCCTTCCTTTTTCTTACTTAACAAACAAAATTCTACGTTCTTAATATCATCACGGTTTTCTTATTTTGTTTATATTTTAGATTAAGTGTCTTATTTTGTAATACGTGCCTCATGTAGTTTTCATGTTATAATTTCGTTACCTTCTGTGTTGTTTCTCCTCAGTTTCTCTCTCTCACTTCAATTGTTTTGTATTAATTGATGCCTACATGTATATATTCTCCTTTTGTCATTTGTTAAAAATTTATACCTGTTCTTGTTCACTGTTTATCTACTTTTAATAATTTGACTAAAATTACTCTGCAGATATTAATTGACTGGATACTCTACAGAACTGTTATTTTTAAAAACAGCGAATACTTATCGCTAGTATGTGATTTTGCTCTTGTTACTCAAATTTCAAAGAAGTCTCTCCTCACGAGAACATTTTCTGCCCTTTTTTTAATCTGTTCTTTTTTTTTGTATTTTTTTTTTTTTTTATTTATTTATTCCTGGGCGATGCGTTTCTGGGTTGTTCACCGAGTCATCCTCATTGCCTAGCTGTATCACTATAGTAAATATTTCTTTGAATAAAAGCATTGTTGACATAGCGTTCACTGTTTTTTTTCTTTGTTCATTCTATATCACCAGTGTATGACTTTCCATTCCTACTACAGAAACAGAAATCGCTGGGAAAACAGGATTTTTGTAAAGGATGAACTCGGTATACTGGACCTTGCACCGTGGTCTCTTGTGTATTTAGGGTCGCTGAATCCGAATTTGACCAAATAATGAAAAATAGAGACAGACAATGATTTGAGTGCCATGTTGAATGGTAGCCAGAAGCATTGAAGGTCATACTGAACTCAAATTTGACAATATTTTTGTGGAAATTATTAATCTAGAAATGCTTCATCATGGAAAAGCTATGGTTTAAAGTCATAAAGTCTTTGCTTAATCTCAAAATCACTTGCAAAATGCGATATATTTATCACCGAATCGTTGATTTTACATATATTTAATTTTTTCTTATATTTTTCAATTAATCTACCCAATTATTTTTTTTTTCAATTTTATAAATTTTTTTTAAATTCTATTTTTATTTACCTACTTATTTTATTCATTTTGTTACTTCTTATCTCATAACTGCAAATGCCTTCAGGACTGATTATTAGGACTTGACAAGAATAGCCTAGATGCATTAAATATATGTAGATTATTACAAACTTTTTATAAATACTAATTTATACTTGGATTAATACTTGGATCCTGCCCCGCAACGGGCACAATCAGACAACAATCAGACCCTGATCAACTATGCAAGTCATCAAACAAGGATTGCCCTGTCGGGAATGGAAATTGGGACCTCGTGATTAGAGGGTCAGCACTACAACCACTCCACCACAAATAGTCCGCCTAGTTTTGCCTCTTGAAATTTATTGTCGCACAAGTTGCTTGAACTGAGGAAGAAATGAAACCAAACAAGAGGAGTGATTAAAAGTTAGGCAAGCAAAATGACGCTCTTCTAATCCAAACAATGGCATGAACAAAACCGAAATCCATCAGCTTTGGTCTTTCTGACCGTATTTTTATCCATATCCTCAAGGTCACGCAGCCAGTTTGAGATGTAACGACTGGTCCATTAATTTTCAGCTGAATCCTAATGGAAATGGATTGAGCTGACATCATTTCCAGTTCATGTTCATTGCATGAATTTGAGTTGTTGAAGAAAATATTGGTTAGGTTGACCAAGTTGTGACCGAGGCTAAAATATCAAAAAAATAACAAGAAACCGTTCACCCATCTCTGCCCTTAGAAAATTTCAGCCGGGAGAGGGTCGGTTGTTACAACTATTTCTCCCTCCGCCCACAAGATAAGACAAGACACAGCCCCTTCTATACGGTGTCGCATGGCTGCTGCCACACTGTTAAGCTAACATGAGTTTTTTAACAATCAGCTTCCAGATGAGGTTAAAATGTTTCAGTATGTTTATCATGTGATTCTGCCCGTTTGAGAAAATGATGTGGCACCAGTGAGCTTACATAAAAGTGACCCGATAATGGACGTTTTTGCTGGCAAATTTCTGGATAGGATGTTTTAGCAAAGCGGCAAATTTTAATGAAAGGATCAGCGAATATAGCAATGAAACGGTACACATAAAGATATAGAAAACTCAAAAATTGAACCCAAATCTGGATCTACGCACACTGCATTAGTGGTTCACAAACTTTAGAGATTGCGGACTTCCTAGGACGCGGTCTAGTGGCTTATTATGACCCCTTTATGATGACCTTTTTTTTTAGTTTAATATTTTTAAAATGCAAATACCTCTTAAAACCTTAGTGGTATGGCGAACTCATCAATTAAAGTACCTGTCCTTTTAAGACTGGATAAACTTAAGAATTTCTCTCTGGCTCAGCTGCCCAAAAAGTCGAAGACCCCAGTTGTACATTCGATAAAAGTATAACTGAGAGCTAACCACAAAAACTGCAAAATTTTTCAAAGATTATTAGCGAGGGTTCTTTGATGAGATATGGGTTCGATAAATGTGTAAGGCTCAATCTGCTGGAGATGAGCAGAAACAAAATAAGCTAGTAAGTTGCGTATATAGTTGTCAATACTGTTTTTGCCAATAGTCTGCTTGATGAGCTATTCCATGAAGGCATGACAATGGGGTAATTTTTCTCTGTAAAACCTGCAAAAGAACAGGTTTTTACAGATGGGGCTGTTGCTGATTGATTGCAGAGACAAAGGTAAAATCAAATTGGAAGTATGAAAATAAAACAATATTTTATTGAGAAACAGCAAAAATGATTCGGAATTTTAAAGCCATAATAATCTTAAGAGTTTCATAATTAAATCTAATGATAAAAAATTACCCGAGAAGAGGCACAATTTAAAGGCTCTTAAGGACAAGATCATATGACTTGACCCCAAGATTTGGTTGGTAATTAAAGCTAATGATAAAATATGACCTGAGAAAAGGCACAATTTGTAGGCTCTTAAGAACAAGATTATATCATTTGCAGGATTTGGCTAGTTTACTATTATGAAGATAGCACATAAGTCTTAAAGTAAGATTTGATCAAAAGCTCCTGAATCAAAACCATTAAACCTAAAGTTTACTTTGAAGCTATCAAAAGCATTTTGAGCGTAGGTAATTGGAATTTTCTTGCTAATAGAGAACAGATGATTTTTTCCTATAAATCATAAAAAAATAAAACAAAAGAAAGACTTAGGAGGGGGGATACATGTATGGTAGAAACTTGGCAAAGCTAATAAAATTCAAGAAGGTAAAAGGACGAGTATAACAACATTTTACAAAGACTTAAGAGGCTACAGTACTTATGGTTACAATGGAATGCCATTACAATCAGAGTGAAGTTGAATTCCTCACAATTATACAATTAATACATTTGATGAGGTCAAGAGAAAATAATAAGAAAATTTATTTGCTTTGATTTCAGAACCGTGCGAGTGCGCCATCCGGGTCTCTAAGGAAAAATGGATAAAATCAAACACATTTTAAAGATAAATGAAAAAGTATCCACAGTCATTATTGACTGCTGAGTATTCAGACAAATGTCTCTCATACTTTTGAGAGGATTATACAAGTATTGCAATAATTAATGATAATGCTGAAAAAGGATAGAATGTTTTTAGGGTATTCATAACTACTTTTATTTCCTTTTTAGTTTTTAAAAATCTGCTTTCTCTTGAAATATTTACAGTATGCATTACTTCTTTTTCAGTCATGTTGCAACACTGATTTTCAATTTTTTCTCTCTAGAAATATGTAGGAAAAGATTCGTAGCAATATACATATATCGATGGCTTTAGTCGAAAAATGAGCCATCAGAACAAATATTAGCATGGTTATTCATTAATTAATTGGCTACATAACCTGGTTGGTTGGTAATTCTCATTGAAAGTGATTTTTCAACAAAAACCCACCTTCTTTTTAATGCTGGATCCATGGAGATCTGTGAAAGAAAAAATATGAATTCACTGACGTATTCATGAGTCCAGGTACTGACCACTGCTTCTCAGAAATGTTTTAGGCAAAAACAACATTTGAAAGCTCAGTATAATCAATCATCTCTAACGAATCCAGAAGAAAGAAAAATTAAAATAAATACCGAAAATGAAATAGAAATGCTGTTAACTGTCATCTTTTAACGATTTTTCTAAAAGCTCATCTTTTTATTGTAAAACTCGAGAGACTTTAGATTGAAGTTGAAGCTAGAAAACGAGTTGCAGAATTGGAAATATTCTAGGAATGTACTTTTCATCCTGTTAGCATACCTATTGCACCTACCACTCACTTTGAAGAGGAAAACGAGTAAAAATGCTACAGGATGTACATGAGGAAGGAGACTACTGTTTATGCTAAAACAAACTAAGTAAACATGATTTAAATCAAAATTAATTACAAAAATACATGAGATTTGCAGCTTCACAATTTTTCTTATCGACTCATTTAAACCTAATTTTTTTAAACCACAAATACGCCCAAATGACCAAGGGTCGAGAAATCATTAGGAAACAAGATTTTTTTTAATGGAGCTCTTGCAAGCATCAATGATTGGGGATTTAAGTATTTTGCTTGATGTAAAAGTTTGCAAGATACCACTAGCTCAACATGGGTACTACTAGTTTTCTCTGAAATAAACTCCCAAGCTCAAAAAAAAGCTCTCAATGTGGAGGTCGTATTGAGAGTCGTCAGATAGAGAGAAAATACAATAGCAGGGTTGCCACTTTGTTAGGGGACTCCAAGGCTAGAGCCATGGCAACACTGCTAATACATCTGCTCCTCATCTGTGCATCGAAAGTCTGACTAGATATAGAGGTGGACTCATAGAGCTGCGGCATATTCCCCGCATTACAGCCTCAGCTGCGAGAGCTTTTTTTCAGCTCGGGAGTTTGTCTCAGAGAAAATCGGTGGCACCATTGCGTTTCTTGCTAAGTTTACCTTTGAAAACATATTCAAATCGCAAATCTCTCACACATGCAAGGGCTTCATTGACAACATTATTTTAGATGGCTGCTTATGCTCAAGGAAATTTTGTTCGCAAAAGTCAAGTGCCGATTCCACACTGAAAAATACATTTGGAACAACTCTGAAAGATTCAGTTAGACATTTTGTGAGTGAAAACCTCATTTGAGACCTACAACTGGACTCCTACATCAGGGATTTTTTTGCTTTTAATCAAATTGTTTTCCTCCCTTTCGGTTATGAGCTTGAAAGCAATCCTTTTCAACTCCTCCAGTATTTCAGTTAGCAACGTTGCTGATGTCCGGTCAAACTCTATTTTTTTCGTTAGAAAACCAATCAATGTACTTTCTTGAGCGTTTTTATGATTTTTCTCCTCGTTTCACAGAACTCTTGAAAAACTTTGAGCAATGAAGTTGACTTGTTTCTATTTGAATAAGTAAAGTACTGGGTAAAAAGGAGGGATATCGATAAGGGCCTTTTTTGGCCCCCTCCTAGAATCTGGAAATTTATGCGGGTTTTCCAAGTTGACTCAATGAAGTTAACGGAAATAATCATGATTTAGCCCATAGGCCACTGGATACGTGTCAAACGGTTGCCTATACATAGGTCTGCAGGCGTATTTTAGCGAAAATTCGTGTTTTTCTATCACTCCGAGGCTTTTTAAACACCGAGCGCAGCGTCTAACTAAAACGAGCTTTTGATATGATATCAAGGACGATGTTTGTTGTATCAGTTAGATGATGCGCTCATAGTTAAAAAAAAACTTTTTACAAAAATCCACGTTTAAGATATATCCGTAAAAATCTTAGGGAATTACGTCTTTAGGGTTTTTTTTTGCTACAATTAAAGAAAATCTCCTTGTAAGGGTTTGACAAGGCTTGATAACTGCCCTCGATAATAAAAGTAGCGTGCATACAGTTCGAGAGACGTGTTTCCCTGAGATTTTTTCAGATGTCCCGTAAACGTTGATTTTTGTAAAAAGTTTTTTTTAACTATGAGCGCATTATCTAACTAAAACCAAACCAGGCTTAAAATGTGTCCTAAAGCCTCCTTGATAACATATCAAAAGTTCGTTTTAGTTAGACGATGCGCTCGGTGTCAAAAAAGCCTCGGAGTGATAGAAAAACACGAATTTTCGCTAAAATACGCCTGCAGACCTATGTTTAGGCAACCGTTTGACACGTATCCAGTGGCCTATGGGCTAAATCATGATTATTTCCGTAAACTACATTGAGTCAACTTGGAAAACCCGCATAAATTTCCAGATTCTAGGAGGGGGCCAAAAAAGGCCCTTATCGATACCCCTCCTTTGAAAAACAGCGTTTATAATACATGACTTTTGAGTTCAGCCATCAATCAAACTGTGGATAATAATGGTAAAAATACTATTTACCACTTAAAAATTATTGCTGGTAATTGTCCTGAATGGCAACAGTTCTTCACGTTCTTTCCTTCAATTATTGAAAAAGGAGGTGATAGAAATTTAATTCTTACACTCCTCTGACCGGAAGGATCGGTTACAGTGATTTCAGTTTTTCCATCAGTGCCGTGGAGGGTATACGTAGGTAACAAAGGTTCCTAAAAATAAGAGTGGGAAAATTTAAAACAAAAAAAATGAGATGCAAAATGTAAATAAACTGGAAGCAATTTACTTATCAGATACTACTGCCTAAGATTAAGAAAAACAAAAAAATGTGGCCCAAACTGTGTGAAAGAAGGTGGTAAAATTCTTGAACTTTTTCGCCTTGCTTTCCCCACAAAATAGTACCCAGCGCTATTAGGTATATTTTTCAAGTAAAATATTCATAAGATTAACATTGTTTTAATTAACATACCAAATTTTGAGGTCAAGGTTTGAGATGATCTTCCGGCTCATTCTAAACTTACAAACACCAACATTTGCCACTGGTCTAATGCTGTAGTTCGATGAAGGGACTTTTGGGTCCAGGGAGTATGTTTAAAGGTTTTACAGATTTTAAATTATTATTGTTAATATACGAGTGGAAGGATTCCACCGTTTTCTATTTCACTTGCAGGGTTGCCAGATTTTGCGCTAAATGTGAATATTTCACATGGGTTTGAACTGGAAAAAGTGCTGAAAAAGCAACTTATCTAGCAACAGTAGAGTCTGGGAGGGACGAGAGGTTGCCTTCCTGGGAAAACCCATGATTTAGCCAGAAATGTCATTATAACAAATTGGTTCCGTTTGAAGGATCAATCAAATGTATACTAACTAGGGAAAGCTATTTTAAAGTAATAATTGTAAATGGACACAGATGCTACAAAACAGGAAAAAATTAAGGGGAAAGGAAATGAAATAAAGATATAATTACTTATGCAGTCAGAGAGAATAAAACGAAAACATCAGAGGAATTTATATGCAATGAAAGTGTAAGAAAAAAACACAAGTGGGCTCATAGCGATTTGGAACTCGAACTATACTATCCTTGAGCAGTTTTTAGACCCCTGCGCCACCAATAAACTTGTTAGGAAGTAAAAATGAACGTTTGCTACTTCAGCAAGTCAAATCGCCGAAGGAGATCCATGGTTGTCACTTCCCTCCACCCAATGGGTCTGATGGCCCAGTCAAATGTGTTTTTGAAGAAATGATCAATCCCCATCATTGCTTCATCTCCATATATTTATTAATCAGCAAATGATGGCATGCTCTGTGGGTTCTGTGACAGGTGTGTGTTAGGTTCTGTGACAAAATCATTTTTGTCTTGAGTGTCTCCAAAATGTACACATCTTAGTGATCAAAAGTCGAATTACTCAGAAAAATGGCTCGCGGAGCGCACCGAATGTCACTCATTGGTAAGCAGGTTCTTGAGGTTACTTCTCCCAGTCTAAGAATCCACTAGAAGTAACCAATGAAAACTTCACAAAAGGCAAAAAAGTATTTCACATACCTAAGTGTTTCCAGCTTTACACATTTTAAGAATTATTTTTTAAAGTTATCTCACCTTTTAAAATTAATGAATTTTTTCCTCTAGGGGAATACAGCAGTCATTGATACTTAAGAATCTTAATGACATGGAGAGGAAAGGATAGGAAGAGAGGAGGGAGCGAGGAGGATAGAGAGAGGTTTTTGGGAAAAGATTGGGGTTCAATCAAATCCTGGGCTACTGACTAGAGTGACAAGGCAGTGGATTAGAATAATAAGAAATATAATGTGTTCACTTATTACTCTTTACTTATTGTTAGTTTTACTTTACTACTTACTCTTTCCTCTTGTTTGTTGGATTAGTTTTATTACTTTACAGTGTTGAGCTACTCCTTTGAAGTTGCCCTTGCAAATATCGATGGCTAAAATGCGAAATCGTTGAAGTGTTTCAAAATATTCACTCCTATTTGATTTTTTCAAAGTAAAACAAGCCGACTTTATGCCTTGAAATTTTTACAGAATATTCTAATACCGAAGAGGAAAAATCAAGGAAGTCTTCAGGAAACTACGTTGACTAATTTTCCAGACAAATATTAAAATATGTCAGAAAGTGCAAAGTTGCAAATGGAGATACATGATTTCGCACTTCAGTCATCGATGTGAAGGTATAGATGCTGATATTGAATAAATCTATGACATTGCGTCATTGCTAGTTATGCCGTTTAGTCTTACCTTATCAATATCAAAGACCTTAATAAACCCAGACTTTTTGAAAATTTAAGAAAAATCTCGATAAAAACATTTTACTTTTGAAATAGAAAACACTGATGATATGAATTAATCATAGTAAGTATGATTTTCTTACTTTGTTTAGAATGTAGATGGAGTAGTATATGTTAGCCATGGAAGGGATAGCAGTTTTCAGATAATATCGATGTATTTCATCCCCAGTTGCCTTAAACTGCACAGACTCATCTTCATAAATTAATTTCTTACCTTCATACAGAAGCAGCTTTAAATTATAGTCAAATGGGACATGAGTGTAAAGGCCAAAACCGAGCAACTTTACATTTTTACTGAAGGAAAATCTGAAAACAGAAAAAATTTGAAATACGTAGGAGATTCCTAAACAAGGGACCTTATCTTCTGGGAGAAATTTTTTCAATACAGCAGCAAATTCAAGAACATTTATTTACTACGGCTAACTTTTTTCACTTGTGGAAAACGGTCCCCCTAAGGTGTTCTTGCACATCAAGGGCAAGGGTTTGGTGACAGAGCAAGCTGTAGTGATNGGGGGGGGGGGGGGGGGGCGGCTCACCTGAAATTTTTTAAGAGATAAACCTATTGTAATCTCTTTGTATTTGATTTAAAAAAATATCATCCTATATCATCCCACTTTCTTAGTTATTTTCCACAACTATTTGCATTATTATGAGCAGTGGCAGGCCAAGCTTTTTGCTCCAATCTATCTCTTGCTTAGGGTCTTGAGATATGTGTAGACGCTGCGCAAAACGCTCTAATCACTTGGAAAATTTTTATTCTTTTCATCTGTGGTAATCTCTCTGGCCTGCTTGGAAAGAGAAAATCTCCTCAATCACAAATAAGAACCAATGAGAACCTTTACCTTTAAGAACAATGTGTATAATTCTTGTCAGAAGAACGCAATCACTAATAAAAAAAAAAATTACCAATGAGATGCTACGATAGGAATCTTAGCAGCGTTGCAAGTCTCAAGCGCCCTTTTGATGAAAAAGTCCTCCATTAGAACTGACACCATGAGCTCTGTTTTAAAAGCATCTTCCACTTTCATTTTGGCATCGGCAAGGGAAGATTTCTCTGACCTCACTCGGTTTTGTTTCTACTTTCATAGTTGGGGATTAAGAACACTTTTCTTCGATTTAACTTCCTATTCTATAAATGGAATCCAACATTTGTATACATTTGTTGTTTGATGATTTCCTTTAAATTACCCAAAATTCTGATTGGGCGAATTTAATTACTTTTATATTTAAGTGCAATTTTCAAAACAAATACTGGCAACCTAGAATCCCAAGATGAAAGTAAGAGCATGACGATGGGTCATGCTGTGAAAGGAAGAATTTTTCCTCTTATAATTTTGATTACATTCGAGGCATGTTCAGATGGTGCATCGAGCTGCTCTTCAGGCCTCCTGACCAGCCCTTCACAGGAGCGCTCCCTATTCTCACTATACAGCATATTGGGCGGAGAACTTGTCAAACAGCTCCACGCATCGTTTTCATGCGTCTTTAGGAATCTCACTCTAAAAGACTATGTGAAGCGCCAAGTATCAAAAGCTACAATTTCTGTTGAAAAATGTAAAAATTTGACAAATGTATCAATTTTTTGAAAGAAGTAATCTACAAGACTTTGTGCTTAATATACCATCATAAATTTTTCATAATATACTGTCAGAAAATTATAAAGAAAGAAAGCGAATAGAAACTCATCTGCTCACATAGAGTACGATAGAGTCGCTATGTACTGGAGCGCTGATTCAGACACTTTTTGAGGTTATTTTGTCCAGTGCCTCTGGGACTAGTGTGCGGCGACGAATGATGTCATATGCCCGGGGTTCTAGCTCCAGGTTTTGCTCAGAAAATATAGGTATAAAATTTATTTCATAAAAATAGGGAGTTTCATACATTTTGGAAGTTGCTGTGACCTGGGTTAACATAATTTGCTAAAATTCTCGAAAATATTATCGACTTAAATTATTAAAACCAGGAAACCATTCGCAGCCTGCAATTTATCCATGAGCCGCTGTATTAAAAAATGGCGTTTGGTTCACACTTCCGGCGAACAAGGGGCTAGAAATGCACTGTTCTGGGATTGACTTCAACAGCATTCCAGTACATAGGGAATCTATTGTACTCTATGTCTCTTCATAGTAAATTAAAATGATTGCCAAATTTTTAGACAGCGCAATAAGAATTGCAAGTTTTGATCCTAGGAATTTCATATAATACACAATATGATCAAAAGAGCACTCACCCTAAGCCGTGATAGCTCTCTGGATCCAGAATTGAGAAGCTGCAGTTACCAATTGATAATCTACTTGCTATCAATGGCTCTTTTGAAGAACGAGAAGTAGTGTTGTACTTAAAAGGAGCTTCTGAGCAACCAGAGAAATAATAATACATATCCACAAGCTCCTGATTATTAAAAATTCCAGATTTAGCAACTGTGGTTGTAAATTCTTTTTGAGTCATGAGTGGAAAACGTATCAATGGTAATGCTCCTTCTAACAGTGATCTTTGATTTTCTCTTGTGACCTCCAGACCTTTTCTGCTGCATTCAGCTGTGGCCCATCTAGAAATAATTTCTTTATATAAGAAGACTGAATAACAATTTTGAAACACAGGAATTCAAAAAATAAAGGACGTTAATAAATATGAAATTCGTGTGTAGAAGTCGGTAAAATCTTCTCTGCAGTCTTTCTAGCTGACTGATTGTTGAGACTTATGTTACCACGACAAGGCATCTAAAATCGATACATGAATACATAGTACTGATAGGACTATGTCTTTTAATGCCATATGACAAGAAGTAGTTTCAACTATCAGTCTGCAGAGAGAAAGCATACGCAAAACAGGCTAAATCCCTCTGAGGCAGATATTTTTATGACTTGACACAAATTCAATCAGGAGAGAAAAAAACCACTAAGATACGGCCTGAATCCTGTGAAAGACAGGATTCAGGTCCAGTGTAGACTGGAGACCCAACACCATTCAATCAGGAGGTGATGCCCCCATATATTCCCAAATTTTTGAGTCTTCAAAACTGTTGGGGGGACATGAGAAGGGATCATGATGCCAACATTTCTACAAATTCTGAATGGGCCTGTTGCAAGGTGCGGGAATTTGCCAATCGATAGCTAATTCCAGTAGGCAAATTTCACAAAAAGAACGATGATGCTATTGAAAAATCTTGAAATCACCTCTCAAACTACAAAAAAAGTTGTTTTGGGGACCAACCCATTCAAAACGGTCAGTTTTACATGAGTACAGATCCAGTACGTTTGGGACATCACAGTACATGACAAACCAGGTCTCTTCATCACTCACAATGTATTTCTCCATAATGAATTGGCAGTCCCTTTTTTAATGCAAATATTGAATTAACTGATGACTTTTTGATACAAATAGATTTCAGAAATGGAGCCTCGGATGTTTAAATGGTTAAAATCCTCATTAAATGGATTATTACGAACCGACAAAATAAACCCTATATTTATGGGAAAACAGCAACAATGGAGAATTTGCATGCACATTTTTTATTGCTTTATCTGAAAGTTCTTAAACAGCTGATTTCACAGTATTTTTTTATAGTTTTTTTCTGATATGGCAAATAGTATAAAAATAGATTTAAAAAAAACAAAGAAGAGAATAGAAAGACACAAAATTCATCAAATTTCAGACACCTGCAAATTCTCTATTACGATAATAACATATCAATCTCTCATCGCTGGTGGTTTTTCTTAAAAATAGGGTTTCTTCCTTCGGTTCATGATTATCTAATGAGGGTTTTAACTATTTAAGCGTCCTAGATTCCCATTTCTGAGATTTATTTTTGTCAAAAAATCATTGGTTGATTCTATATTTGCATTTGAAAAGCGATTGACAATTCCTTATGAAGGAAAGTACATTGTGAGTGATGAAGAGCCCAGGTTTATCATGTCCTGTGATGTCACTTGTGTACTGGCTTCGTTCCCTTACTTGGCTTCTCGTAAAAGTGACAGTTATGAAAATCCGAAAATCGGGATGCTTTTTAAGTTGATTTCTTGGGGGTTTCCAGTGGTCAAAAAACTCTGTAAAAATTCCTGGGACATCAAGAGTCTTTGTTTTTTTTATACAGCCAATAAAAAAAAATAGTGCAACAGGCCTATTATAAAACGAAGAGTTGCAGCAAAACATGTTTTGAACATATGGTTTCAAAAAGATGAGCGTTTGGGGAAATGTATTACATGCTGTGATTTGTGAGGTATGACAAATTGAATGGAGTTGCAGCCTCCAAAAATTTAGAGCTCTAAAATTTCCTCACATCTGAGTTAATTCTGAGGCAGATGTGATGACATTCAAAAATAAGCTGAAAATGGTGATAGACTCAGTTCTGTGAGTCAAGCTGATGATGGTGGTTTCCTTGTTGTCAGTACCTTGCATGCAGCTTGAAATGGTTCATTTCTAGTTTTTGCACTTTGTGATTCTAACACCCCGCAACTAAAATATTTCTCCAGAATATATGAAAGAGCTATGTGGGCCGCCCATCAGTGTCGGAAACACCAAACATCAAAACGAAAAATAAGGCTATTTCATAAATAACCTCTGATATCCAAGTAGCCATTTCCGACCAAAATGTTGCAACAAACTTGAAACTTTGTTGAAACTTAAGTTTCAACTAAGTTTCAACTTTCTTGCCACCTAGTTGCAACAAGTTGCAACTTCCAAACAACAAAGTGGATGCTTTAATCAAAAAAGTCTCAACAAGTTGGAACTTTCAGACGGAAAATTTGGAACATCATGGAACTTAGTTGCAAAAAGTTGGAACTGTTTGGGGAAACTTTTACCCCTTCCTTCCCTCCTCTTTTTCAGGAGCCTGATGAACCTGGGAGGGAAAATCATGAGAAATCACTCTTATCTTTGTACTGAATCACCTGAAACTTGAGATGAAAATATTTAGAGGGCTCTATGCTTGAGGAAAAGCTCCCCTAAACACTACTCAATAAATTGACAGTAAAATTTTGACAATTGGTGACATTTGCTTTAAAAGGGAAAAATAGAATGAAATTACACAAAAATATATGGTTTATAACTTCCTTCAAAGGACCTTCTTCACTGATATTTTGCAGTCATGTCAAAAAATATGCACCTCCCCATACTGGTTAAAAAAACATACTGTTAAAAAATTCTTTTACATTTTGTAGTTGCTTAATGAACGGGGAATTTTTATTGAATGTTTTGGTTTTATAACATTACTTATTAAAATGTTTAAACCATCAAAAATTTATTAGCTTTAATGTAAGGATTTTAAGAAAGCTACCTATAAAACATATAATTGTACAGCCAGGAAGTAACTGGGATAACTGAGATGACTTTTTTCCAAAACCAAAGAATTTCTCCATAAAAAAAAAAAATTCAGATGTAACAAAGAAAGTGCAATTTTATATACCATTTGCAGAAGGCTTGATTAATTTATAGTCAACTTAAATGCTTGCGCAGGAAAATGGGATAAAATTCATGACAGAATGGGTTACATCGAAGAGGCTAATTGTACATTTAAAGTGCCAGGGTTTGCAATCTAGCAGCATTGCAAGCCTCTCACTTTCTTTGACCGAATCACAAAATACAAATTTCAATCCGAATTAAATTGTGTATGCTAAAATAAATATGCTAATACTCACCAATCAACTTTTGGTGGTTCGAAGAAAGCGCACGATTTGTTGTAGGTAACTTTCAACTGCTAATAAAGATCAACAACATTTGACTGCTTTGTGATTTAATCAATCGGTCATATGTTGTTAAAATTTTTATGCAAACAGTTGTCGGACATTAAGTGGAGCCTTTCCATGCTACCTCTCTGCATCCTCATTTTATTTTAGCTCAGAGCGGTGAGTGCAATAAACCACAACTGATTTCACCTTTATACTGCTGCCAATTAACTAAAGAGTAGAATTGGCGTGTGTACACAAACATTTTCCTAAATTTCCCGTGCTTTTCCCAGTATTATCTTCATTCCTAACTAGAACTGAGGAAAGAATGTTCGATGCCTTCAGGTTAATATGGTATTGGTCTCTTCTGTTTGTTCTGCAGTTCCATTTCGTTAAGACTATCTTGCTTTGATTTATACCTGTTGGCTGATCATATAAACGACAGTGACAAAAGCTCCATCTTCTCAATTCAACCACCAGTCAACAGAGGATCCATCGATACGTTAATCTCAAATTCTTTTTTAATCATTATCTAAAAGTAAATTTCATATGAATTGAAGACTAGGTAGATCAGTTGATATTTGACAAAATTGATGACAGTAAAAAACTGCAGAATGGGCAGGCTTGATTTAAGAGGATTCTTCTGTGCATACACATTAACGAGAAACATGTATTCACCTTACTGAGCTACATTCAGACCACTCGATAGTGTAAGATTAGCGTTAGTTACCACACTGAGAGACTTTGCGCAGGTAACTATCTTAAATAGGGATTCAATATGGTGAATATGCTCCTACACACATGTGGAGTTCGCTCACCAGATGTTGCGGCGAAAGTAAGGAAATGTTTGTATCATCACTCATCAATGTAATGGCCCCATCTCATTGCATGTAAGTAATAATAAGTAGAGTGGTGCTGGTTGGGAGCTGATCAAACATCTACGTTAGTCTCAACATTTGATGAGGGAACTCTATTGAATCATACGTTGACTCGTGTTACGAGCTTGCATCAAGATATACTTTTGAATGAAACGTTTGGGAAACTTCAATCAATTGCAAAAAACTGGTGATCAATTTATTTTTGTTGAACTCGGTCCAAATGATCGATTGAATCTGAGTGATCTTTGAGTCGATACATACATGCTAGCATTTCAAACCTCATTTCATCTCAGCCGTCGAATATCCAGGATGGATAAGACATTTTGGGCAAAGCAGAGGAAAAGGAAAATAAAGTCCACACATACCACAAAAGAAAAGAAGTCTAAAAGTATTAAGGGCAGTTCTCAAAGTGAACAATATGGCATTCTGCTTCCACCAGCATGAGCACACACTTAGACGCACACTTGACATCACACACTTTGACGCAAAGTATTTTAATGAGTAAACTCGTTGGAACTGGAGAGGAATCTGTTATCATACGAAGTGCATACAAACGATTCTTGACAGATCAGGACTAGTTACGTGCTAAGTGGAGGATCTAATGTTCCTTGAAAGAAAACAGTTGAAACTCTCCTGAGAATGAGAAATTGATCAAGTCCATAATTTACCACAGTATGACACCACACACTAAAATCGCACTTTTGACAAGGAGACGTGTGAATTACTCGTGAGTCGAGAAGGAGCTTGGTGTAAAATTTAAATAAATTAAAAACTGATCATGCACACAAGTTCACATGTTCACGTAACAAGTAATGACGGTTATGGAGAGTGGATGATGCCGCATGCGCGCGCATGCCTCCCCTCCCGCGACGCGGTAATCATCAACGGTAAAACAGCAGCAACTTAGTTGCGAGAATGTTGAAACTTTTGAAGTGTACCGAGGGAATATCGAAGGGCTCACTTAAACAGTTAGAAAAATGTAATAGAAGCACCAACGTAGGTTTATCGCTCATTTGCTCATCGTATGATACAAAGATTGGAACTCTCCTAAAAATGAACTGCAAGATGTTGCAATATTGATGCAACTTTATTCCCACAATGTTACAACAAAGTTGGAACAAAATTTTTGCCAAAAGGTTGCGACTTTCTTACGATGTTTTTCCAACATGTTGGAACCGTGGCTACTTGGATACAAAAACGGCCAAGGGCAACTTGACAAAATTTCATCCTGTGATACATCTCCCACAAGCTCTTGCTTTTGTAGATATGCAGGTGTAAATCTCGCACTGCCACTACTCTTGGTTGTCAAATTAGATGAATTGGACTTAATGTTACAATTCGGAACTACAATTTTTAGCTTGTCCATCAAAACACTTGAAGGGATTTGATTGTGGAAACACAATGCTGTGGTGTTTTCACAATCAAATCCCTTCAATCTTAACTGGTGTTATGGTTTCATTGCCATGTTCAAATACATAAAAACACTCATGTGCATAGGAAAACTAATGATACATACGTTCCTTTTAAACTAAGCCCGAAATTGTAGTTCCGAATTGCAAAATCTAGTCCAATTTGCATTCCACAACCTTGAAATCAAATCCAGGTGTTGGGGCTGACAGCTAACCACTTGACATGACTAAGCATAACTAAGGCTGGCTTTTAAAAATGAAGATTACCATGACTGTCGATATGACTCTGCGTGAAAGCTTCTGCTGCAGACCAGCTGATTAAAAGTGGTCCCTTATTGTTGCTGGTTGTGAATGCCAGACAGAAATGTATGGCCATGATCAGTCTGGTAGGAAACAACTATGTACATTTTTTTATTTTATTTTTTCATTTTTTCAGATTTTATTTGTACACTTACAACGGAAACATATATAAAAAAACACCTTGTCAATCAGCAAGTTAAGGCACCTTTGAGAGTTAATACCCCTGTTCAGATGGGCCATAGTTGTTCTTTGATTCAAATAAAGTTGAAGCAGGGAATTCATAGCTTTCCCATTTCTCAAATTGACCTGTCCATTTAAAAACTCAGAATTAGTGACCTTTTTCAGGCCTTTAATGACAAATTGCTACGATTTTGTAGGATAAACGATTTCAATGCTGGCGAGTTGGCCCTCCTATTTTCAAAAACTTTTTTCAGGTCCTTCCCATTTTTACCTGCCACCTACCAATCACATGAACAGAAGTTTCTGAACCTCTGAGTTAAAGAATCTTGATATAAAAAAAAAAACAAACCTAACAGCAGCATCAAATAAAGCTGTCTCCTTCACTTCCATGGTATCTCGCTTCAAGACTTCGCATAGAGTAGGAAAATCAACTTCTACAAAATCTTCACATGACATAGCAACCTCTGCAGTTTCATCTATAATATCCAGACAAGACTCTGCCAAACTCTTTTCGCTTAATGATTTCGCCTGAAATAGAACCAGATGTTTTGTTAGAAGCAGAATCCAAACAGTGTTGCGAGTTGTAAGTAATAAACTTTCATTTTCATACATTTTATCACTTGCGCAGATGGATTCTCCTTTAAATGAACCATTAGCCTAAGTACAAATTCAAGTGTTCTGATAGATGCTTCCTTTCCGAAATTTAATTAAGGCACAATTCGTTCAATAAAAATCACTGAAATCAACTTCTAAGCAAGATCCACCTTTATGGAGGGGTCCTTGAAGAAGACTCTTTATTTAGCACTAGTTTCATAAAATTTGAACTGTCTGCTCACAGGCAAAACCAAAGACAATGTGAATCAAATTGCGCACTACAATGGTTTTGGCTGGTTTCTTAATCAAGCAGTGCTCTTTCCTGACCTGTGTTGTTTTCAAAGAGAACAACACTCAACAACTGAGATGGAGAGCTGATTTTGAGGTTGCCATAATTTCATATATTGCATTCCTACGGTAACATTTAGTGTGCAATTTAACTCAAGTAGATGATGGTTTTTTCACGAGTAAGAAATTTAAATGTAAGTATCAAAAATCATTTTACCTGTCGCCACTTTGCAACTTTAAAATCTAAATTAGAATATGACCTTGCCGTTAATCAAATCCCTGGAAATATAGTTCCACTCATGCTTGAATCCCCAGATAACAGGAAAATAATTCATCAATACATAACTAGTATCCTCAAACAAAAAATTGCTCGCTCAAAACCCAATCAACAGTTATCTTATTCTGCTTCGTCTACACCCTTTCAGCTTAATTTACCAACAACCAGCAACTCTCCTATGTTGCCCCCTCTTCAGCATAGACGATGTGCTGCAGCAGCCGACGCAATGTCCCTCAGGACAGATTCTTGCAGTAACCGTGCAGACAGACTAACGTCAGGATGTTAGGTTTAGTCAGGTCGGCTCGACCTCGGACCCGCCCCTTGCTCTTAATCTAAAATTCATACCAACCTTTATTTTAAACTTCCGAGCCAATCCGGCATATGATAGTTCCCCTAGCAGGTCACCCCAGACCAAAACTAAACCTCTGTGTCGGTGTGGCCTAAATGGGCTGATGTGCATTGGGGGCTTAAATTGTCATATTTGCGCGCAAATTCGCCACTTTATACCTCACGGTTACAAAAAAAAAAAAAAAAAAAAAAAAAAAAAAAAAAAAAAA